CCCGAGAAGGTAGATCTCTACCCCCCACCCCCCTGGACTCCGCCCCCGCCATTTTATGGAGACTCAGAGAGGTTAAGCAACTTGACCCAGGTCACATAAGAACCAGCAGAATCATTGTTTGAAACCAGGTCTGTCTGATTCCAAGGCTGTAGATCTTTCCAGAAAGAACACAAATCCAACAAAGTATTTATGTTGAACCCTAGAGGAAATGGTCAGGCTCACGGAATCACTTACGGGCGGAAGTCAGATGTTACAGGAGAGGTCTGGAAGGCGAGGGACCTAAAAACTGTCACTCTGAGCGAATTGCCTGAACTAGTTTTCTCATTTGAAAAGTTGGACTCGCCCACCTCATAGCTGCAGCCGGTGGAGTCCTTTCTCGTAGATCAGTTCCTTGGCCATGGTGGTGATGAAGTGTTCTGTATATCACCTCTGATCCCACACCTAGTCCCCTTGGTTGTGGAGGTCAAGTGAGACCCCAGTGAATCCCAGGAGCCCTCTACACCAAGGTTAACAATTAGTATTCTCAAGCACCCAGGACCAGCTTCACGGGCCATGCAAACTGTACAGTCTCACAGGGCTTGCACTTAATTTAATGCTCTGTGGTCTCGCAAATCTCAATACCGGGAGGCCCCCCCGTTTCGTTTTCTACTAGCCCCCCCCCAAATTATGTAGCTGGTCCTGCTATAAAATAGTGGTGGCTAGCAAAACTCAGCAATACACTCTGAGGCCTCCAGTAGGATTCCCGAGGACTGAGAATGTACCACAATGATAATCTTTGTGACCCAAGTCTCCTGAGTGCTGACTCAACCCGTCTCCCGGCCGTTGAGGGGAAAGAGCCGTTCTCAAGGAAGCCCCTCTGTCCTGTCTATGGCCGGCATAATGTCGTAGTCTGTTCGGGCTGCTGTAACCAAATACCACAGACTGGGGGAGGCGGGGTGGGCTTGTGAGCAATCGAGAGTCGGTTCTCACAGTTCTCACAGTTCTGGAGGCTGGGAAGTCTGAGATCAAGGCGCCGGCAGATCTGGTGTCTGTTGAGGGCCCACTCTGGTTCGTGGGCGGCCATCTTCTCACTGCGTCCTCATTTGGCACAAGAGACAAGGGGGCTCTCTGGGGTCTCCTTTACAAGGGGACTAATCCCACCCACGAGGGTCCCACCCTCAGGAGCTAACCACCTCCCAAAGGCCCAGTACCAAGCAGCATCACACGGTGGGGGGTGGGGGGTAGGATTTCAACGTAGGAATTCTGGGGCAATGCAAACATTTCGTCTAGAGCACACGGTCTGTGACAAACACCACGCCAGAAGGGCTGGAGAATACAGTCGTTGTCCTCAGCAAGAGCATTTTCCAAGCACCCGCTCTGTGCCCAGCCCGGTTGCCGTGGGGAACACAAAAGGACCCCATGTCACCGCCATGCTGAGGGAGCTCCCAGCTGGATGACGGGCTGGGACACAGATCTGGAACCATCTGAACCTCAGCCCTGGGTACAGGTGCATACAGTGGGCAGGTCCGGCTTTGGAACCTGTCACTATAGACTGGCGTTGGGGAATACTGCAGGTCGGGTTCTTGAGGAGCAGACGCTAAGACAGAGTGTGGGGCGCATGTCAGTTTCCTGTGGCCGCTAGAACCAATTACTACAAAATGGGTAGCTTTCAGCTGCTAGAAATGTATCATCTCGTAGTGCTGAAGGCCAGAAGTCTAGAATCAGTTTTGCTGGGTTGAAAGCAAGGTGTTGGGAAAGGTGGTCAATCCTTGCCCTTCCAGACCAAGCCAGAGGGCAACGGTCTCAAAGACTCTCAGGCAGCCCAACCCTGCCCTTCCAGAAGCTTGGCCCATCATCCTCACTATTGTCATTGCCCTGGGGATGGGGGTGGGGTAGTGCCTGGAACAGTCGAAGGGCAAACCCCAAAGACAACCAATCTGGTGGACCACAAATATGGCTTTTCTGGGCCCATCTTTAAATGTGAGTGAAGGGACCCAAAGTGGTTAGGACAGGGTAAAAATCAGCAGGTGACGGGGAAGGTAGGAGGGGCGTGGACTGGTAGCAGTTCTGGAACTATCTCAGCGAGTCGCTCTTCCTCCTTGGGCCTCAGTTTCCCCGTCTGCCGTGTGAAGCCTGTTAAGTCAGGCATTCTGACCTAAAGGTGGTGATTCAGAGGGAAGAAAGAGGAGGCGGACCGGGAGGTCCCTGAGAGGAGAGGGCTGACAGGGAGGCTGGACAAAGGTCCAAAGAGCCCCCCACTGAGGTGTGAGGTGCCGGGGCAAGACTACACACAGGGGCCCACATAGTATGTGGCTAAATATTTCAAAGGTATAAAGCAAACTAACAGACTGTCGAATAGAGTATGTTTTGTTGGCTGACCTTGAAAAACTATTTTTTAAATGATTATTTTTGGGAGAGAGAGAGAGAGCACGTGAGCAGGGGGAGGGGCACAGAGGGAGAGGGAAACAGAGAATCCCAAGCAGGCTCTGTGCTGTCAGCACATTCCCCGATGAGGGGCTCGATCTCACGAACTGTGAGATCATGACCTGAGCCGAAGTCAAGAGTCAGACGCTTAATGGACTGAGCCACTCAGGCGCCCCCCCCCCCCC